AGACGTAGAATAGCTCTGGGATAGGTTTTTAGGTCGGGTGCTATTTTTTAGCCCTCCTGGAAGATCAGGGACGGAGGCGCCCCCCAGGGGCCACGACGCGGAGCGCTCACGCCGGCCGCGGCCCCCCGACGTCCGCCGACCCCCGGCGGCCCGGACGCGCCCGTCGGGGCACGCAGCGCGTGCCGCGGCCGAGACGTCCGTGTCGACACGCTGCGCGGTGGCTCCCCTGACCTTCCAGAGAGCTATTTTTTAGCACTGGAGACCTAAAAACCTAAAAACCTAAACGAAGCAGCCTAAGACCAAGACGTAGAATAGCTCTGGGGTAGGTTTTTGAGGTCGGGTGCTATTTTTTAGCCCTCCTGGAAGGTCAGGGTCGAGTCGGGCATGCCCCTCTGCGGGAGGCCATAAGCCGAGGGAGGGCCGCCTGCCGCAAGAACCCGGTCCGGTCGTCGGGCCCCGAGGGCCGCCGCCGCGGCAGTGGCCCGGCGAAGGGCCCAGCCACATGCGGCTGTGAGCGCCGTCGCTTCAGGAGAGGAAAAAACACACAGACACAATTAATCCTCGATTCCCAAGAAAATATGGGAAAATATGGGAAGTGGGGGGGAAGACAGAAACCCAGAAAATATGGGAAAATATATGGAATCTGTTTATTTGTGTGTATTTATTTGTGTGTCCTGGGGCCCCTTCATTGCTGTGTGCACCGCATCCGGAGGAGCCTCCTCAGGGCCACGAACGGTGTGAGGCTCGGCATCGCTCGGACGGGTGCAGTTTTTCCTTCGGCGAGGACCCTCGGGGAGCATCCTTGATCCGTTGGCGAGAAAGCCGCGCGCGAAACCGAAAAATACACAGGGAATGGACGTCCGAGCGATGGCCAGGGGCCGTCCCCGCGGATTTCTCGAGTCGGCGCTGGACCCGTCCCCCCTGGCGGCGCCGCCAGGGCCGCCCTTCGTCCTCCTCCTCCTGTTCCTCCTCCTCCTCCTCTTTCTCCTCCTCCTCTTTCTCCTCCTCCTCTTCCTCCTCCTCCTCTTCCTCCTCCTCCTCCTCCTCCTCCTCCTCCTGGGCGCGGTGGGCGCCTGCGAACGCAGCCACTGGGGCCGTCGGGAGGGCCGCCAGCTGCACAGGGCCGCTCCTTGGCGCCAGAGGTCCGACGCTGCGGGGGAAAACAGCATCCTGGCGAAGGGCCCAGCCATACTCTATCTGATGTCGGGGGCGGAAAAGAGGGGGGTGATGACTAGGGGGCGGTGAGTATCATGGCGTGGGCCATGACATTTCCCCAGATCTCATGGCGCCTCTTCTCGTTTCATTACGGCCCTGGCCCCCCCGCTGGACCGCGCACATGCCGGCGGTCATGATTTGCACCCCCCCCCCCACCATACTGCAGATTTCGTAATAAAAGGGAGGGGGTCTGGACCATCCAAGACAAGCCATTTCAGACCCCCCCTCGTGGGAGAACCCTCCAAAACGTCGTCCCCAGACCCCCCCAGGCCCTCCAAGATAGCCTGGAAGAGACCCCCCCCGAAATGAGACCCCCCTCCCTTTATTGCGAAATCTGGAGTATTCTATCTTATGGGACAACGTTTGGGGAGGCTTGTCCAAGGGGGGGTTGTCCGGGGGGGGGGTGTCCGGATCCTTGCGGGGTTGTCCAAGAGGTTGTCCAGGCCGCGTTGTCTTGCCAACACGTGCTCGTGCTATTGTCATAGATACCATCGAGAGCGTGGCACAACCAGGGAAGCCCAGCTGGAAATGTCGCCTCTCTTTCTCCCTTTCCTTCATGTCCGTTCCCCGTCGGTCGTGCCCCATTTCCGTTCCCGTTCGCATGCCCTCCTTTACCGCGCTTCCCCAAACAGCTATGTTGATTGGGGTCCCGCTGCTGTATAAGCAAGTTCTTGCTAAGGGGCCAACGTTCAGTTGCGAGTATCGCCGTTGTGGGTATTGCCTTCGGTGGATATCCTTATGGGGCCACGAAGCGCGTGAGGGTCATGCCGAAATCGGCGGGGAGGGACGCAGGCGAACCTCGCCACTGGGGCCTTCGGTGGAGCTCCGTATGGGGCCACGAAGCGCTGTACTGGGTGGCGCGGACGCATATGATCACAGCCATTGGGGCCTTCGGTGGAGCTCCCTATGGGGCCACGAGGCGCCGTACTTAGTGGCGCGGACGCATATGATCACAGCCATTGGGGCCTTCGGTGGAGCTCCCTATGGGGCCACGAAGCGCCGTACTTAGTGGCGCGGGACGCATGCGGTCGGGCCTTCGGTGGAGCTCCCAATGGGGCTACGAAGTGGCGTACTGGATGGCGCGGGACGCGTGTGGTCACAGCCACAGGGGCTTTCGGTGGCTTTCCTATGGGGGTCCGAAACGCCGTACTAAATGGCGCGGGACGCGTGCGATCACAGCCACAGGGGTTTTCGGTGGAATTCTGATGGGGCCACGAAGCGCCGTACTGGGTGGCGCGGGACGCATGTGGTCACAGCCATTGGGCCTTCGGTGGAGCTCACAATGTGATCACGAAACGCCGTACTGACTGGGACGCATGTGGTCACAGCCACTGGGGCCTTCGATGAAGCTCCCGATGGGGCCACGAATCGCCGTACTGAATGGCGCGGGATGCATGCGCTGGGGCCCGTGAAGCTCCCGATGAGGCCACGAAGCGCCGTACTGAATGGCGCGGGACGCATGTGGTCACAGCCTTTTGGGGCTTTCGGTGGGGTTCCCCATTGGGCCACGAAACGCCGTACTGAGTGGCGCGGGACGCATGTGGTCACAGCCTTCTAGGGCCTTCAGTGGAGCTAAACGCCGTACTGGGTGGCGCGGGACGCATGTGGTCTCAGCCATTGGGGCTTTCGCTGGGGTTCCCTATGGAGTCACGAAGCGCCGAATTGGGTGACGCGGGACGTATGTGGTCACAGCCATTGGGGCCTTCGGCGGAGCTCCCCATGGGCCACGAAGAGCCGTACTGGGTGACGCGGGACGCATGTGGTCACAGCCACTGGGGCCTTCGGTGGAGCTCCCGATGGGGCCACGAAGCGCCGTACTGAATGGCGCGGGACTCATGTGGTCACAGCCTTTTGGGGCTTTCGGTGGAGCTCCCCATTGGGCCACGAAACGCCGTACTGAGTGGCGCGGGACGCATGCGGTCACAGCCTTTGGGAGCTTTCGGTGGCTTTTCTATGGGGGTCCGAAACGCTGTACTGAGTGGTGCGGGACGCATGTGGTCACAGCCATTGGGGCCTTCGCTGGGGTTCCCTATGGGGCCACGAAGCGCCGTACTGGGTGGCGCGGGACGCATGTGGTCACAGCCATTGGGGCCTTCGGTGGATCTCACAACGTGATCACGAAACGCCATACTGGGTGACGCGGGACGCATGTGGTCACAGCCACTGGGGCCTTCGGTGAAGCTCCCGATGGGGCCACGAAGCGCCGTACTGAATGGCGCGACGCATGTGATCACAGCCACTGGGGCCTTCGGTGGAGCTCCCTACGGAGTCACGAAGCGTGTGAGGGACGCGCAGACATGGGATGCGCAGGGCGGAGGCAGGGATGGGAGGAGGGAGGAGGGGGAGAATGCAGGAGTGAGGGGCGCGGGGCGCTGCCTTCTTGTTTCAAAATGAATACCAATACCACATGATGTTTGGGGGAGACGTAGCGAAAACTCACGACCGGAGCCCGTGACCCCATCTTTCTTCGACATGCTTCAAGCTGAATCGATCTGTGAGGGTCCCGGGGCCCGAAACCAAGCGAAAACGCGCGGCCCGACAATGATTCCGAGACGTGCCCAGCCCCTTCATCACGCGAGGCGAACAGTCATTTGTATGAGCGCACCACACAATGAAACCATCGCCCCATATACACGATTTGGGCGGGCCCCATCTCCGCCGTGTCTCCCAGGAGCCTACGAAAGTGGCGACTGTTGCGCAGTTCGTAGCATCGTAGAGAGCTGCGAGGTCTCGGCTGATTTCGCGTGGCCCCTGACTCCGCTGGACCTCTCAGGAGCCCACGAAACTAGCAACACTTGCGCAGTTCGCAGCCACCCAGAGAGCTGCGAGGTCTCGGGTACTCCACTACTGCCTCCCAGGAGCCCACAACGTGGCGACAGTTGCGCAGGTTGCAGCCTTGCAGGGAGCTGCGAGGTCTCGGGTACTCTGCTATACCGCCGTGCCTGCCAGGAGCCCACAAACGTGGCGACAGTTGCGCAGTTCGTAGCCACCCAGGGAGCTGCGAGGTTTCGGGCACTCTGCTACTCCACAGTCGTGCCTCCCAGGAACACACGAACGTGACAACAGTTGCGCAGTTCGTAGCTACCCGGATAGCTGCAAGGTCTCCGGTATTCCGTTACTCCGCCGTGCATCCCAGGCGCCCACAAACGTGGCGACAGTTGCGCAGGTCGCAGCCACCCAGGGAGCTGCGAGGTTTCGGGTACTCCGTTACTCCGCCGTGCCTCCCAGGCGCCTACGAAAGTGGCGACAGTTGCGCAGTTCGTTGCCACCCAGAGGGCTGCGAGGTCTCAGGTACTCCGTTACTCCGCCGTGCCTCCCAGGCGCCCACGAAAGTGGTGGCAGTTGCGTAGTTCGTAGCCACCCAGGGAGCTGCGAGGTCTCGGGCACTCCGTTACTCCGCCGTGCCTCCCAGGCGCCCACGAAGGTTGCGACATTTGCGCAGTTCGTAGCCACCCAGGGAGCTGCGAGGTCTCGGGTACTCCACTACTCCGCCGTGCCTCCCAGGAGCACGAGAGTGGTGACCGTTGCGCAGTTCGGAGCCACCCTGGGAGCCGCGCAGGAGGAGACAGGAGGAGGAGGAGGAGAAGGAGGAGGAGGAGGAGGAGGAGGAGGAGGAGGAGGAGGTGTGCGACCGCAGCGTTCTATTCAAAACGGGACATAACCAGACGCCAGCATCTCAAGGCAGACCTGGGTCTGGGCCCAGCGTAGCCTTCGGAGGGGGCTCCGATCGCCGAGGGCCCTCGGCCGCGCGCGCGGCGCGGCGCGCGAGGCGAGGGCCGACCGGCATGCCGGGGCCGACCGGCACGCAGGGCTCGCGCGCGGGAGCTCCGCCGCCGCGAAGGGGGGGGGGCACTCAGGGCTGGAGGAGGAGGAGGAGGAGGAGGAGGAGGAGGAGGAGGAGGAGGAGGAGGAGGAGGAAGCGGGGGTGGAGCTGGCTGGGGGCCGAGGTGGCCCAGCAGTGGTTCCAGCCAGAAGGCAGGGAGGAGGAAGGGGCCCCCCCGTCGCCACGGCTGGACGCGGATCGAGGGACGGATTTTGAGCGGATGTTCTTCCGTCCCCCCGCTTGACCGATTTTCTCGGGGCCCATCCATCGAGGGGGGGGGGAGGACAAGGGTCGAGGAAGCGCACGCTTGGCTGTGGACAAGTGGATTGGCGATAGGTCCCGCTCCCATTCGGAATCAGAGGAGAGCTCGTGCCAGCGTGCGCCCGAGGGGATGAAGGGGAGCGGGAGGCAGAGGGAGAAGACAGAGGGCGAGGGGGGAGGGGAAGAGGAGCGACGAGAGCCTCCGGCGAGGGGGGGGGGCTCCGTTCTCCCCTGCGCGTGGGAGGTTGATGCTGCGGCACCAGTGGAGCAGCGCTGCGGCACGGACGGGGAGGAGGAGGAGGAGGAGGAGGAGGAGGAGGAGGAGGAGGACGACGAGGAGGAGGACGAGGAGGAGGAGGAGGAGGAAGATGAGGAGGAGGAGGAGGAGGACGACGACGAGGAGGAGGAGGACGACGAGAAGGAGGACGAGAGTAAGCCCAAGGTGCATCAGTGGTGTCGCCGTACGCCCACCCGTCCCAGGCCCCCTCCCCCTGTCGGGCGCCGCAAGAGGGCTGCTCCAGAGAGGGAGGGTGCGCCCCTTCTGGAGGGGCGAGGGCCCCAGGGGCCCCGCGATCCGGGCGAGGGCCCCGTGCAGCAGAGGGCGGCGACGAGGCAGGGCCATGACGCGAAGGGAGCGTCCAGCGAGAGCGTTGCTCTGAAGAAGTCAGGAGGGAAAGCACACACACACAGACACTATGAATCGCCGGTTCCCCCGAAAGTATGGGAAACTATCGGAAGTGGGGGGAAGCCAAAAAACCTGAAACTATGGAAGCACGTGTGGGGAATCCTGTTATTTGTGCGTATTCATTCGTGTGTCCCAGGGCCCCTTGAAAAAAGAGCCGCCCTCAACCCGTGCACGTTTTGTACAAGTGCTATAAAGTATGGCCATGACGCAAGCAGGGAAGTCTCAAGCGAGAGCCCCGATGTCAAGAGCAGCCACCCGCAGTTCGCGCAGCTGTCGCACAACATTGGCACTCTCACCATCTAGGGACATGGCAGTACCCAACACGCGTACAGTTGCTGGAAGATGTTGAAAGGAATGTGTTCGGCGCTTATGCGATAGCCACATGATGAAAACGGCTTGTGCTCCACCCGTGTGACTGCTGGAGTTAAAACGACCACCCTCCACCTGGGTGATTGTTGGATGTGTTACCTGAATAACTGTTGGGCCTGTTGAGACGAATGCGCGCGGCGCTCAGGCGAGAGCCACAATTTGAAAACGACCGCCCTCCATCCGTGTAGCTTCCGAGAGTTTCAAGCTTCGAGGCCAGAAGCGGGGAGGAAGTGTCAGGCGAAACGCCCAGCCCGCGCTACCGACACGCATGGTGGTCAGAGTAGGAGGAGTTATCCACAAGGCATGAGGAAAGGGGATGGCGGAGGAGAAGGGGGAGGGGAGCGGGAAACCAGAAGAGAAGGAGGAGGAGGTGGAGGAGGGACAGCGTGGAGGAGGTTTGGGAGGAGGAGGAGGAGGGTAGACGCCAGATGTGTAGGGCTGATCGAGGACCGTGGTCCTGCATCAGCCGCGAGGCGCTGGCTCACCTTCGTCGGGTGCTTTCCCCCTGGCCTCGTCGCGCGCTGCTCGAGCGCGGCTACTCGACCTGGGGGGAGGGCTCTCTGGCTCTCTGGCTCGGGGGTGATACGTTTTCTGGCGAATTCGTATCTTGTGTTATTTGCCTTGTCGTTGTTTGCGTCCGTTTCCACACTCTTGGTGAGGACGAAAACGGCTTTCAAATGCAACTGGCTTTCGCGTTCCGACAGTGGTTCTTGACTCTTGCGAAAAAAAAAAATTGACCTGGGGGGAGGGTGATCCGGTTGGAGGAGGGGCGACAAGCGGGGGTGGAGCAGCAGGAGCAAGGGCTGGGTGAAGAAGGGTGCGAATGTTCTTGACGGCATCAGTTGTGCTTGTGCACTCTGCAGCTGCGGACGCTCCTCGTTGCCCCTTCTGTCCCAGGATAGACCAAGCAAGCCCGAACAGGATCCAAGCTGGTTCTGGCATCAAAGCCACACACGCCGAGACGGGGTGTTGGGTGTCACTCACGTCGCTCCGTGCGCGCATTCTGTCTTCGCGACACGGTGGGCCCCAGGCATAGCCCCTCGCGGGTCACGCCCAGCTGCTCGCGGCAAGCCCCGCCCTCGGGCCAGCCAGGCGCTCTGGGTGGCGACCGGTCGAGCACCGCCCGCAAGGCCGTCACACGTGGCACCGTTTCCCTCCACCTCTTGAGGAGCGCTCATGGAGCTTAGCTTAAAACGACGCGAAGATCGGGACAAAGTCGCATCGGGATAACTCGAAATCTCTGAGAATCGGCGGGTTTGGAGGATGTATTGGGCGCCTCGGCCGCTCCAGAGCGTTCCGGAACGCTCTGAGAGCGCTCCGGAACGCTCTGGAGCGATTTATCCCGATCCTAGCCCTGTTTTATCGGAGGTGAGGGGGTGAGATCGAAGTGGAACGGAGAGCCCCCCTACCGGGAAATCGATTTCGGTTTCGTGTTCGTGCGTGCCGTGCGTGCGGGCGAGGCGAAGCTGCGTGGGCGGGCGAGAGGAAAGTCTCCTGTGGCTGAGGCGCGGCCGGACCAAATGATTCTCCACCGGGCGGCCGGTGGCGCGCGGTGTCCCGCCGGTGTCCCGGTGGTGTCCTCTGTGGCTGAGGCGCGGCCGGACCAAATGATTCTCCACTGGGCGGCCGGTGGCGCGCGGTGTCCCGCCGGTGTCCCGCCGGTGTCCCGTCGGTGTCCCGTCGGTGTCCCGATCATGATGTTGATGATGATGATGATGATGATGATGATGATGATGATGATGATGATGATGATGATGATGATGATGATGATGATGATGATGATGATGATGATGATGATGATGATTGATGATGGCGATGATGATGATGATGATGTTGATGATGTTGATGTTGATGATGATGATGATGATGATGATGATGATGATGATGACGTCGATTGCGAGATCGATTGTGATCGGTAGTGAGACCGAATGTGAGACCGAATGTGAGATCGATTGTGAGATCGATTGTGAGATCGATAGTGAAATCGATAGTGCGACCGAATGTGAGATTGATTGTGAGATCGATTGCGAGATCGATAGTGAGATCGATAGTGAGACCGAATATGAGATCGACAGTGAGATCGATAGTGAGATCGATAGTGAGATCGATAGTCAGATCGATTGTGAGATCGATCGAATGAGATCGATAGTGATATCGATAGTGATATCGATAGTGAGACCGAATGTGGGATCGATTGTGATATCGATTGTGATATCGATAGTGAAATCGATAGTGAGACCGAATGTGAGATTGATTGTGAGATCGATTGTGAGATCGATAGTGCGATCGATAGTGAGACCGATTTTGAGATCGATTGTGAGATCGATTGTGATATCGATAGTGAGATCGATGGTGAGACCGATTTTGAGATCGATTGTGAGATCGATAGTGAGATCGATAGTGAGACCGAATTGGAGATCGATTGTGATATCGATAGTGAAATCGATTGTGAGACCGAATGCGAGATCGATAGTGAGATCGATAGTGAGACCGAATGTGAGATCGATTGTGAGACCGATTGTGATATCGATAGTGAGATCGATAGTGAGACCGAATGTGAGATCGATTGTGAGATCGATTGTGAGATCGATAGTGAGATCGATAGTGAGACCGAATGTGAGATCGATTGTGATATCGATAGTGAAATCGATAGTGAGACCGAATGGGAGATCGATAGTGAGATCGATAGTGAGACCGAATGTGAGATCGATAGTGAGATCGATAGTGATATCGAGAGTGAGATCGATCGAGTGCGACGTTGGTCCCTCCCCCCCCTCACCTCCTTATCACCCGAAGGGTGGTCGTATAGGTAGTTGGATTGTTTTGCGGCTGTCTGGGGCTCATGTGGGGCAGTGTTGGGGGTCCACCGGGGCCCTCTTGGGCCAGTTTGGCGCCCGACTCGGCCGTCTCGGGGCCCCAGCGGCCGTCTGGGGGATCTCTCGAGGCCGTTGTGGGGCCGCTTTCCGGGCCGTCCTAGGCTGTCGTGGGTCCCTCGTGGGCCCGTCGGAGGTTCTCTTGGGGCCGTCTTGGGACTCTAGGTTGGCCCTGTTGAGCTTTCGAAGGCGGCAAGTAGGCCGATATTGGACCGAAGAGTGCGGACAGTGACAAACAACAAAACTTAAAGGCCCTCTTGGGCCAGTTTGAGGTTCTTTTGAGCCCGTCTTGGGACTCGAAGTTGGCCCTGTTGAGCTTTCGAAGGCGGCAGGTAGGGCAATATTGAACCGAAGAGTGCGGACAACGACAAACAACTAAACTTCAAAGGCCCTCTTGGGCCAGTTTGAGGTTCTCTTGGGGCCGTCTTGGGACTCGAAGTTGGCCCTGTTGAGCTTTCGAAGGTGGCAGGTAGGGCGATATTGAACCGAAGAAGTGAGGACAGCGACAAACAACTAAAACTTAAGGATAACGCGATGGCGTTGGCTCCTTGAGGGCGGGCGTTGGTGGTGCCTTGGGGCCTTTGGAGACCTGTTTGGACATACTGGGCGCTTCTGAGTGGCTGTTACGTGCGTCTCGAGGCGATCTGTGCCCATCGTGACGGCCTTGGTGGCATGCCTGGACCACTTCGGAAGTCAGCAATGGATCCTCGGGATGACGGGGGTTGCAGCACTGCGCTAGGATAAGGCGGCCCTAGAAGAATACCACACTTCAACACGCGAGGCAGCACTTGGCATTCTACCACGCTTCAGCACGCCAGAGGGAGTGGTTGCGGATTGAGAACCCGCGGTGCTGACATCGATAGCGGAAACATTAGGATGTCGTCGACATCTCAAGTATTGACGTGTTTGGCCTGCGCGGACTCGGGCAATGGGTTCGAGAGTGTCTTTTCACGATTGAGCTGGAAAAGCTTGGTTCGAGGGCTTAGCAATCTTGTGCCGGGAGTTGCCTGGCAGCCGCCCGTACTCTTTTTACTCAGTTGTCCCTTTGGCAACTCGTAGGAGTGCCCTCTTAGCTGCTCCGATCTTGGTTCAGGGTCCGCCTCAGCGACTTGAGCTCGCGGTAGTGATCTGCACAAGCAGCCTGGCGATCGGATTCTTGATGTGGCCCGCATGCTGGCCAAGTTTTCTTAGCCAAAGCCCCCGCTGTAGCCAGCCCCAACCACCCCAGCTGCGGTGGAAGGAATGAAAAAACATATCGCGGGGCCTTGGCGATCCAACGTCTGGTCAAGATGCCCCGTGTCTTGTCTACTGGGGCCGCCCCCCTCGCCTTGGCCCTCGATGCTCGCCGAGAGCGCCTCGGGCTCTCGTCGTGAGCGGCGATGCCCCCGGCCCTGGGACGAGCCGACCGTGCGCGGTGCCTGTAGCCTGGCGCTCGCACCGCCGTGTCTTACGTTGCATCTTCGGGGGACCTCGCCTGTCCCCAAAATTGGTGTCTTTTCTCGTGTCCGACGCATGCTTGATGCGGACTCGACGCAGACTTGGTGTGGATTCGACGCGGATTCGACACGGATTCGACACGGATCCGACGAGCCCGACATGGATTCGACACGGATTCGACGCGGATAGGACAGCGACGGGACATACAAGGCCCCCCGAGGATGCAACGTAACGTGTCGGCGGTCGGTGCCTCTCTCTCTCTCTCTTTCTCTCGCTCCGTTCCTCCGACGTCACATCCTCTTGGCATCGCTCGGACGTGTGCATGTTTCCTTCGGCGAGGACCATCGAGGAACATCCCGCACAAAACCGACAAAAAAAGCACAGGGAGTCGACGTCCGAGCGATGGCCAGCGGCGGTCGGTGTGTCTCTCTCTCTCTCTCTCTCTTGCTCTCGCTCCGTTCCTCCGACGTCACGCCCTCCTCGCGGCGTGGCAACCCCCGGAGCTCCCGACTCTCTCGGGGGAGCCGGCGTGTCGGGGCGCGCTGCGGCACCTGGGGTATTCTGGAGGCCGATCTATCTCTCCCCCTCTCTTTTCTGTTCTCTCTCTCTCTCTCTGGTCGCTGGTCCTCGAGCCTCCTCCTCCTCCTCCTCCTCCTCCTCCTCCTCCTCCTCCTCCTCCTCCTCCTCCTCCTCCTCCTCCTCCCTCCTCCCTCCTCCCTCCTCCTCCTCCTCCTCCTCCTCCTCCTCCTCCTCCTCCTCCTCCTCCTCCTCCTCCTCCTCCTCCTCTCTCTTTCTCTCCTCTCTCTCTCTCTCTTTCTCTCTCTCTCTCTCTCTCTATCTCTCTTTCTTTAGTCATTTCTGCTATTACTGGTTGTCTCTCTCTCTCTCTCTCCCCTTCTATGTTTTTGTTTTCTCTCTCTCTCTCTCTCCCTCTCTATCTCTCTCACTCCGCCTTTCAGATGCAATTCCTGGGAGGTAGAGTCAGTCAGCTTCGGCGCTGGTATGTCCGTTGTCGGAGACTGGCCAGCTGCCGACGAATCCCGTTTGGTCCAGCTTGATCTTGCGCCTAATCTCGGGCAACCTGGCCCAATGACCACTCAGTCGGGTTTGGTGGCCCTTGATCGGGTTGAGTACAGTCGGGGCCCTGAAGACGGAACCTTTCTCGTTGGGGAGGGGCTCCGTGTTCCTTAATGGTTTCGCAGCTTGCCTTGGATTTTCCTTAGGTTTTCGATGCGAAATCGAAGCTCAACGTATGGAAAAAAGGGGCCTCGTTCCTTAATTAGGGTTCCTTAGGTCAACGCCTCGACTGTAGCCCTTAACATGGTCCATGCCGATCCGATCGATCCGATCCCATTCAATGCGGATTCTGGCCGGCCCGAGCCCACTCGATGCCGGCTCTGCCGATGCGGCCCGATCCGATGCACATTTCGAGTCGATCCGCCTTAGCGATCCGATGATAATTGATCGTGCCATTTGCGGGCCCCGGATACGGCAGGGCCGTTTTCTTCACCGTTTCAAAAAAAATGTCCTTTGAAAATGGAAACGGGAAAAAAACGGCGACCGGAAACGGCAAACAAACGGCTCCAGGGTTGGAACCAGAGCCGGAACCGGTCAAAAAACGGCGACGGAACCGGTAAAAAAACAGCGTCGGAACCGGTAAGAAAACGACAAAACGGAACCGGTGAAAAAACGGCCTTGTAGTTTCCAGGGCCCACTAAGATCGTACCCTTTTTCGTTATTGCGCAGACGACCTCTCATCAGATGCCTCCTAACTCTCTCTCTCTCTCTCCGCTGCTCCGGCCCCAGCGCAGGCATGGTCTGCCGGGCGTTTGCGGCGGGCCGTTGTGAGTTCGGCGACAGCTGCATCTTCTCGCACTCGCTGGTGCCGCAAG